CAAGTGAATTCCGGCAAAATTAATCGGCTAAATATGAGACGGAAAATCATGCAATGTAAAAATCTTAAATCTCCGATATGGGTCCATTCTTAATAGTTTTACCATGTTTATGAATTGTAGTTATTTTAATAAATTAATTATAAACCTAGTTATAAAATAATGATTGATTTATTGGTAATTTATCTTTATATTATATCATATTTTCAATTTAGATTAAAATCAAAGTTGAAACTAAATATAACAATATTTTGATTCATGTAGACTACTCAAAGCATATCAACAACACCAATATGATATTATACCTTTATTAAGCATATTGACTCCTCAATTCTTTTTTGTTCTCTTAAAAAAAATAGAAAATAATAATAATTATATTTTTTTAATGAATTCAAATATATTAGTATAGCATCTCTATTTCAATCTACTAAATAAATCATTTTTATTGTTTGTACCATATAATAAAATATTTAAAAAGTATTTAGGAGTGTAATAAAGATTATTTTTTAAAATGTTTTTTATTTAAAAATAAACTAAAATAATATTTTTTTATTTTTTAAAAAATTATTTTTAATATTGGCATTTCATAACCATTCAAAATATATAAAAATAATTAATTTCAAATAAAAAAATCAGATTTTTTGCACTTAAGATGATATACTAGCTGGTGTCATTTTTACCCAATGCCATGTTGACTTCTACGAGAACTTAAAAAGTCAGCGGATCCGTTACATTTTGCTGTAATTATAATTCCGAACAAGGACAGTTCTTTCGTTCGGCACTAACCAATAATTATGCCCCTGCTTTGCTGTCATCACTTGTAAGTCGCAACGGTAGTGCCTATGTTGGGTAGATTTGTAGGGTCACCGTCCTACATACCATTAATTGATTATCATGCCATGCTACCCAAAAATAAATAAATAAATTGTAAATAAAGAATAAGTTTTAAGATATTATTGTAATTATCAAGAAGGTCATTCTATTTTTATTTTTTTATTCAAATTAGAAGATTTTTATTTGAAAGTAGAAGTTGATTTGAGACGTGTTTCTCATTGTTTGATAAAAAAATAACTTAATCAAGCTATATAACATAACATAAACATATATTTTACTTAAATAAAATTGGTAAAATTAAGCTGATTTAAGAAGTGTTTTTTATTGCTTGTGAAAATAATTTAGTCTTAATTTATTAATATAATGAATGAATAATTTTTTTTTAAAAAAAATTGCATCACAAAAAAAATACATTTAATTATTATTATTATTTGTTCCTGATAATGGATCTTGTCATGGATTATTAATTAACTTGGAAATTAAAACTACATCATTTCCAGGTAAATCTTTGTCAACAACTCACAAGGCTAGGTTTTTTTATTTTTAATATATAGTAATATAATTTTGTTGTCCACAACATTATATAAACAAATATTGTTGTCTAAATCATAATAATTTAACTAGTCAAACTACGTACCAAGGTATCGCAAGGTAGATAAATTCGTCGTGGGAAACGCCAATAAAAAAAATAAAAATAAAATTCTACGTGGGAAATGCCAGACTAACAACTAATAATTGTCTCCAGAAAGAAAACAGGAATTAATAATAATTAGCAGAGACTTTTATATACATAGGATAAAAGGAATCCATAAAAGATATAGTTTTTATCGTGTTTGTGTAATACAAAATCCAAGAAAAAGTAAATAAGATATTTCTAGCTTGCCTCTAAACGACAGTACTGGGGGTCCCTTACTATATGTCAATTTAAATAATTGAGTCTTTCTACCACCTATTTGATGTATGAAATCCCACCTCCTATCTATTCTGTTTTTAATCGGAGCCCTTCATTTGAGAATCCATAAAAGACATGTTTGATGATTGACACGTCCTACATTCTAATTGACCCACATGGTTTAATCTAGGATTTGGAAGATTAAAATAAAATCCAATTTTCAAAAATAAAAATAAAATAGTAACTTACTTTTTTTTTTTTTTACTTAATTAGGTATGCATTATGTTTTTCATATTAAAGTAGTTTGTTTTTAAGAGATTTAATCAACTTTCACTTATTTATTTGTGCATTTTCGAATTATTTTTATTTTTTGGATGAAGGAATCTTACTTGGTGGAGGAATCTCAAATGGAGGGCTCCAAATGATGGCCATAATATATATGAAGTGTGAACAAATGCTCGAGGAGGCCATGATCTCAAGTGTTTACAAGTTCCAAGACTACACGTATAATTGGCATGAACAGTAAAACACGACAAGTCGGTGAGAACATAAGAAGAACCTTCTGTCTGAAACACGGTTTACAAAATATCCTCTCTTTTTTTAAGAGCAGCAAAAGCAAAAACAAGAACAAAACACGCTAATGTTTGTGCATAGCTAGCTGTCTCAGCTACAAATTTAAAAACTTTTTGTCTTCCTCTGATCAAATGTTCAAAAAATAGATGGGATCACGCGCAAATGAGCTGGTAATAACACAGCATTTGTACTGAAGTGTACAACTTGTCAAAATTACGAGATGGTGATGATGTTCAAAACTTTATGATATGATCAATTTCCATATATGTACAAAACTTTATTAAAATCCCTCAGTTATTCTTAAAAAAGAAAAAAAAGGAAAAACTTCTCTATTATATATATGTACTTATATAAAGGCTAAAGTAAAATCCATTTTCCATATAAAATCTTCATGTATGTGTGAATTTGATTTCGAACAAAAAATTAACTACTAATCAAGATTAAAAACCCATCAAACATTGGATTTTAAAGGCAAATTAGCTAATTTATGTCAGTGTAGGGGAATTAAGTAATCGATGAACTCAATTAGCAGCATCCTATATATATTATTCACGGAGTGCTTCAATAGACTAGGTAAGTGGACACTTCGTAATTTAAGCATAAAATAACATGCGTATGCCTGTGAATCATAATTTTATTGACAACCTATGACCAGCTAAACTCTTATATACTGATCGCATGCAAATGATCTGCCCTTAATTAATTGAATTGGTGCAATGCCAACTTACTAGCCAAGGTCCAATAACCCTCGCTATGTTCTTGTTTTTTTTTTTTTTTTTTTTTTTTTTTTTTTTTTTTTTTTTTTTTTTTTAATGACACTTTCAGTGCTCTTAGTCACTAAAATATAATGCAAGAAATGAATTTTTCATTAAGATTCTCCATCAATGGGTCCGTGTAGATCCCACTGATCGATCCAACAACATGGTTTCTGGGAGAAGATATTAGTGCTCAATCTTTTTATGCTTACACTTCATTCCATTTTTCAAGAGAAGATAGAAAACAATTGGAGATAAAATTAAGAGGAATGCTAGTATCGTCATTCTTTCTTTTTTTTTTTTGGAATATATGCTTCGTAATAGAAAACTATAGAAATTGATCATGTAGAGCCTAGAATCTACAAAGAGAAAGTGAGATTCATGTTTTCATGTTGAATTCTAATATTCTAGCTATTCAATTGGGAATATATGTATGTGTATCTTATGATTTATTTCATAGACCATTAAAAATAAATAAAGAAATAAAGAAATGGTACTTGAACTATGAAATAATATTATATTAAAATCAAATGGCTAACAATACCACATTTCAAAAATCATTTTAACTTGTACATATTCTTCACTATTTTATGCTTGAATTTATTGATATATTAGATCATTTGATAAGAAAAACAATACTTATACTATCAAATAACTATGGCAACCCATAAAATTAAAAAAATGGATTTATATTAAATATGTAATACTATATGATATTCATAATTAATTTCAATATTAATAAATATATAATCTTAATCAAACTAATTTAAGATCGTTTCAAAAATTTAAACAATAAAGTCAATGAACTAATAGCTCAATTGACAATATCAAAATGTATTTCTTTCTTTAAAGATGTACAAAATGAGTCCATGACATAAATCAATCGATTATAATAAAAAAAAATAAAACCAACAAAATGAAGTTAAACAAATATATATTAACTAGTAAGAGAAACATTATGATGGTTATGTTAGACCTCTAATATCAAACTTGAAATATTAAGATATATTAATTAGAGGATAAAGAATATCAAAATTAATTAATTAATTACACACACACACATATAATATTAAAAAAACTTACATGTTTTTCGTGGCCCTGATTGAACGTTGTTGATGGAGGAGAAAAACTGAAGCTAACCTGTCCGTTTCCCTGCCAACAATCTTCTTTACAGGCCATGAACAGATCCTGTGGCTTACCAATCCTACCAGCTCATCCACATGACAAAAACTGATTGGGTTGATGAAAAAATTGTGCAAATCAATAGTCAATATTTTCTTTTCTGTTCGTGAGACCACTGAAGCTACATCTGGTCTGGTAGCCGAACAATTCTACCAGTGAAAATAAGTCATGTACATTTTTTGACTTTCAGAAAGTGCTTATTCAATCTTTGGAAACAAGAAATACAAATGCAATGATCAGCCTGCCTTTGCACCATATAATTGCAAACGAAATGGACAAAAGGCAAATTGCTGCCGTTGACAACTTTTTCAAGTGTTTTACTTCTAGGAAAATTGCATGTAGTTAATGGCTGGCTTGTACTGAGCAGCACCACTCAGCATGACAAATCAGAGATGTTTTGTGCGTAAATGATCAATATTGCATGTAAGTGAAAGTTGCAACACCTTCCTGAAGTTGAGAGCTAGCCATTAATTAGCAAGAATATTGGACCATTAACAACAAACTGCACAGCATGCACGATGAGCTTATTGCGTTGCATAGGATTGATACTACGTCCCTACTTTCTCAAGCATTATCTCTAGCTTTTTAGAGTTTGTGGGATGGCTGAATGTAGATTTTGCTCTTTCCCCCCGCCGAATTAATTTGAATCATAGAGCTTGAACCTTAATTTATCCATGATGATTTTGAGATTATGTGCTTCAAAACTTAATTAGTCACACACACACACACCAATTAAACTAGACTTCATCATTAAGATCACAGGAGCATAAAAATAATTAGACAATATTAAAAAGAGAACCAGCTCGAAGCTTTTCTAGCCACAGTTTGCAAAAAGAAGAGGATCATAACATAAAAGCTTAATCAAAGAACATCATATTTAACATCTCCAAAATGAGAGTTTCAGGACAAACCTCTTCTCTAAAACAGCAAAAACATTGAAAGATAGCTGATCACTACATGTCTTCTCTTCTAAGCTTGTTTAGGAGTGCTGTGATAAGGGCATCCCTCTTCTCAGCCCTAGCCTCTTCTCTCACCCTTCTTTGCTCCTCTCTCTCTCTCCATCTTCTCTCCATCACTATCCTATCATTCTCTAATTGTTTCATGGTTTGTCTCCATTCCATCTCCTTCATCCTCCTCTCATTTTCCCTTGCCTCAAATACTTCTCTCCATTGCATTTCCATTTGCATCTGTTGCTTCGTGAAATCTTCCAAAGACTCTTTCAAACTAATACTATATCCACTGCTACTAGTTCCACCAATTGCCTTGCCCTTTTTTATCTTCTTTCTACTGCCACCCTTTTCGCCCTCAATAATTTCTTCATTCTTATCCTCATCGTCAGAAGATAGCTTCACTGCTTTCTTTTTCAACCCAGTAGCTGCTCCTTCAGCTTCAGCCCGTAACATTCTTTGCATCCTTGATGTGAAAATCGCTTGCAACTCATTGTAGAAAGGAAACTGTTGCCTCATAGCTTCAGGTTCTATCGTCTCACAACCCTACACACACAACAACAAGGTGAGATCGAATCATCTATCAAACACCATACATATATGTGTAACTATATACATGTGTGTGTGTGTGTGTGTGTGTCAAGTAGCTAGCTAATAGGGTTTTAGTATTTACCATGCACTGTTCATCACTCAATAAAACAGATCAACAAACATATATTTCCAATCCAATCCCTAACTTTTTTCCCATTTCTCAAAATAGTAATACATATACACATACATACCTTGTATCTTGTAAAAAGATTCTTCCACTTGCACTTGCACTGCTCTGCGCTCCGATTATAACCCTTTTCTTTCATTTTATTAGAGATAACTTCCCACAAAACTTTGTTTCTTTTCTTCTCCATGAAAGTTGGATCCAGTTCTGCTCGGATCATCAAGAACTCCTTTGTTTCTTGAATACTCCATTGAGGAAACTTATCACTTGCCTCTACGTTTACACTGATGTGATGTTGCTGCTGCAGCAGCTGGTATTGCTGTAGGTGATGCTGATTGTGATGTTGGTGGTGAAGATGTCCCTCCATAACAATCACACGCTAAAACTAATCTAAATCAGTTTACACCCACAAAAAGGATTGATTTGATCAAAATTCGAAGAGAGAAAAAAGATAGAGGTAGAAAGTGAGGGAAAGATATATATGAAGAGATGGTAGTGTGAACGCTGAAGGAAAGTGTGAAGATTGTCAAAGAAAAGAAAAAATTTTCTTTTCTTTATGCTCTGGGCGTCAAAGAGCAGTTTTTATTGTTCGTTCAGATTCAAGAAAAAGAAATACTAAAGAACTGATCTCTTTCTTCTTCTGTATAGTTTCTCTCCTCTTTCCAGTCATTATCTTTCTACGCGGAAACTTATTTGTCAAAAATTCTTTTATTTTTATTTTTTTTATTAGGGGTTTGGGGGCAAGGCTGCGTTCATAAATATTAGTTCACATTGCGTTTAGAAGTCGTCAGGCTTACGAGAAAAGTCTCGGAGATGGTGAGGGCTTTATTCTCTGCCATCATTTATATCATACGTGCATGCACTACAAGCGATATTTAATTTACTTTTGTTGTTTCTTTTTTCTTTTTTCTTTATTGAGAATTAAGACCTTTTATAATTTATAGTTTTGAACAAGATCTAGATACATATAGTTAATTCTCATGTTCAAACGTAGAAAATAAAACTTTAGCTTTGAATCAACAGCTTCATTGATGGATATGTCACAAAAGATATATATATTTTTTAATTTAAGAGAAAATTATTCTTTTGATTTTTTTGAGGGGTCCATATAAATAAAATAATTTGTATATTAAATATATTGAAGAAATTGTTTTGTGCAAAGTGAAATGTCCTTCTTCACTTTTTTTCCTTTTGAAACTTACCATAGGAACGCTTGTGTTTTATCTATGTATCATTTAGTTATTATTTTGAAATAGAAAAGATAAAACTATGGAGATAAAAAAAATACATGCCATTGTATATCATATTTTAAAAATATGAAAATTAACTCTAAGATTAGACGCATTTATTTTCTAATTATATCTTCGTTTATCCAATAAAAAAATATTTATATCTCTTTTATGCTTGTCTCTTTTATTATAAAATAATTGTCAACACAATCTAATTGTTGATTTCTTGTCTACCACGTTAAAGTGAGTCATACAATCCCACTTCTTTCAGTTTAATTAGGATGAAACCATATTGAAAGTACTCACTTGTCTAGGGACCAATTCATATAAATGAAAATTATATTCAATATATTTAAAAAATTATTTTGAGCAAATAGGATAGCCTTCCTGGATCCCAATGCCAATTACCCATCTATACTAGCATAAATAATTTTAGATGATTATATTTAGCATTGTAGTTCAACTATATTTTTAAAATATTTTTTGTTTACTTGAAAATATTTTTTTAATATTTTTAAATTACTAATATCAAAAATAAATTTTAAAAATCAATCTCTATAACATTTTGAAATATGCACTTAAATTAAAGACTTGGGTCTTTCAACATTATTGAACTTCTTTTCACTCTAAAATCAAATATTTTTTAACACCACAAAAACATGAATATTGTTGAATTCCAAAATATTGTTCGAGCAACACATGTATGTACGATGATTATTGATATTTATCTGCATGTTACATAATCGTATTTATTTATTATTAAAATTAGATAATTAATATTGATATAGGATCTAGGAGTACACTTGTATTTTGAACCCATTAATTTATCCTTTGTTTGAAAACTTGCTCTACACGCGAAGGATTTTTTGTCTTTCTTGATAATGTAAAAGCAAAAGATATTAAACTCAGAACTCCTGATAAAGAAAATTACTAGTCATGATCTGTTTATCTCGATTTTATTAGATTCCTTTTCGCTTTGTGTTGGATTTTTTAAAAATCCTTTTTTTTTTTTTGTTTGAAGCAAGACGTTGTCAACGTCCTTGTTCTTACCTGTTGAACCGTGTGAAGGAGACAGAGAAAGTAAAAAAGCTTTCGAGATAATGTGTTCTGTACGTGTGACCGCCTTCGTTAAACAAGCTACCAAAACCTTTTGCTGCTTTCCTTTGCATGGATTTCGAAATCTATAGTAGTAAAAACCAAAACGATGAGTAAATTATTTTTCAGCCACGCACTGACCTTTGAAACGATGACTTAGTCCTTGATTTAGCAAATCTTGTATCTTTTCGTATTATAAATTAAGTTTTTCATTGGTTAAAAACTATGTTTAGTATTTGTTTAGAAGTATGATTGTAATTATTTTTTAAAGAGTTTTTTTATTGAAATATATTAAATTAATTTTTTTATTTTTAAAAATTATTTTTAAAATCAACACATTAAAACAATCTAAAATATATAAAACTTATTTTTTCAAAAAAGATATCTAAATATTTATAGGAAATAAATCAACCAAAAAAAACAAACCCAACCAAAACAAATTCTTACACAACAGGCCTATAGCCCTTTCAAAGTTAAATTATTAACCTACAAGTGGATTGAAGCCTTAGATTCAGAACAGTATTTTTAAGAATACCCTGTCCAATAATCTTCTTTCTAACTGATTGAATTATCCATTTGTTATAAAATTCAGCCTCATCCAGTGGGTTAATTGATCAATTTAAAACTTGATTTGAATGAAGTTTTATTTTCAAAAAAATAAATTTTATTTTGATTAAAAAACTCATAATCTATTAAAAATAATGTAAATTATATATTAGATATGACCTAATAATTTAAATTTTTGTGTTAAATTGGTTCTTTGATATAATATTATAATTTTGATAATCAATCAATAACAAGTTTGAATTTCATTATCTTTATTTATTTGATAAAAAATAAAGCATAAAGTGATGTAGATTTGTATAAGTTTCAAACCCAAATAATTTTTTATCTAGAAATGTATATTAGTGAATGATATAAATTATATAGTAAATTTCTCCTAACAATTTAATTTTTTTATTAAATTAGTTATTTGATATGACTTAATATACAAGATATTATTGTCATGAATTTCACTATTACCCTCCTTCAAAGATCCCATAAATCACAACGTGAGAGGATATAGATAGGAATCTCTTTCTTTCTTTCTTTCTTTCTTTCTGTTTTCCTTTCAAATTCCTCATTCCATGTATCAATATACTTTACTGAAAAATGGAAAGGCACGCGGACTTGGAGAAATATAATAAAAATTATCTCTATTTTTATCATTTCTTTTGCAGCACACACGTGCATGTTCAATCATTCCACTATACTTCAATTATCTAATGTAATACAGCCAATCTATCCAGCATAACGAGCCATGAAATCTTATGATTTAGTCTTTTCATTTTCTACCCTTATTTGTAAAAAGTATCTTTGATTTGTTCTTAATTCGAAATTTACCACTGACAAATTAAATTCTTACATAAAACCTAAGTAGTGAGAGATTTGGAAAAGGAAGCTGTCGACTTCTTTAAATGCAATGGAAACAAAAGTTAAGGGACCAAAACGTATAGTTTTGAAAATGAAGGATTAAGTTTTAAATAAATTCTAAAGCAGGATTTAGAGGGTAGTTTCGAGTAAGAGTTAGAATTGGATAACCTTAATTGTTTGGGGTCCTGGCACCTGAGGACCGTTGTTTCTTAATCATCCACGCGTCTTTTGTCATGTCCCACGCGTGGACGCTAAATCTCTTTATCCACGTGGCAGGCATGCGAAAGATCATAAGTAGGTGATTATTAGGAAAAACGGATGGCCCACGTTCCCTTGTTCACACGTATGACGACCTGATCGGGTCCCGGCCCAAGTATTTGACCCGGTGATTTGACATGTCGTAAGGAGATACGTATCATCTAAGAGGAGCCGACGTCATGATTTAATTTAACTTACTTGAGATCCGGATGTGCTGAATTTCCACAAGTGATTTTGTTTCATTCCAATGATTATTAATAATCTAACAACAGAAAAATTAAGAGAAAAAAAGAATATCAAGATTAAGAGTAATTAACATGTTTGTTTAGGCTTCTCAACCTTATAAAAAAAAACAAGTTAAAAGGCATTATTTTTCATTTTTTTAACTTTATTTTAATTTTAAAAAATGGCTAAAAAGCTTAAACAAATTGGGTTTAAGATTGTTTTTAGATTGTTTAGGCTCTAATTTGTGGTAAGATTAAAACATAAATCCTTTAAATACTGGTTTAGTGATTAACTTTTTGCTATTGAAATATTAGTTAAAAAGTATTTTAAATTTTATGTGCCAATTAAAATAAAATTTTATTCCTAAACTATTTGAAATGATATGCATAAGGCTGATATTTTAAAAAAAAAAAAACAGAGTAAATCCTGTTAGAAAAATCTACTTTCTTAAAAAAATCAAGCCAACTTCTTTAGATTTTTAGAAATATTTGTATTATTAATTTGGATTAAATGAAAGAGACCTTATTAGAAAATTGAAAGGAATGTTTTTTTTTTTTAAAAGGAAGATATAAAAGACTATCTATACACGAATTCCTTCATCATAGCTTGAATAAAATTAAATAAAAAATTATTAACCTAGTTATTTAAAATCAAATCATATGTGAAATTGAATTGAATTTATTATGTAATTATAATTCAATTGATAACATATTTGTTTTTTGGAATAAAATATTTAAACCACAAAATTAAATTAAGTTAAACTATTTAGAATAATATGGAAATAAATTGAAATAACAATTTTGGTTATTTTATTTTTTATTAAAAAATATTTCTTTGTTGTTGCAACCTTGTCTATTCCTGTCTTTTAATTTTCATCCTTCCCTTCGATTTTTATTTTTATTTTTTACAGGGCTATGATCAAAGCTTAGTACAGCTCACTTACTCCAGGTTGAATACAGTAGCTGATCTGCATTCCTCAGCTTTATGTGCACTTTTTTTGTCATATTTTATACAATGATCTTGGATTGTATTCAGGGGTTTGGAATATCTCAGATTAATTTGCATGATTTCATATCAGCATTTGAATCAAGTTTGCAGGATTTCTATATTGGATTTCATGTTACATATGCCACTACCTCGCGTTTAACCATCATTCCCTTGAATATATAAACACTGTGTTAATTAATTGAGAATATTTGGATAATGTTTAAGAATATGGTAATGGTTAAACACAATTCTTGCTATCAATATATAAAAAATAATCTGAAAATATATATAAAAAATTAAATAAAAAAATTAAAATTTTTGAAAAACACATTTAAAACGCGTTATCCAACACACCTGGACCATCTAAGATTATAGCACCCACGGAACAACGCGACTTTGTTAGTGAAGAGAAACGAACACTCATGTGGCTGCAGCTCTTTGATGTAGATGCTG